GCCGCCGCTACTGCTGCAGCCTCGGCAGCCGCAGCCGCAGCCCCCGCAGCCGCAGCCGACCGCTCGCCATTTTGAAAAACCAATCGACCAGCCGGCCGGTGGTGTCGCGACCGGAAGCGCCCCCCTGGCCCCTGCTGCGCGGAACCCATGTTCTCAGGGGTCAGGGAGCAAGGGGAAAGGGTCAGAAGGGCACGTTTCCGCTTGGAAAATGAGTTAGTTCCCTTGGAACCTCGAGCTTCGAGCTTCGAGCTGAAAAGTCATTGAAACGTTCTGGAGAGGTTCTGGAGCCTGTCTGGGGGCCCAGGGATCTCCCATGGAAGATGCTGCAGCTCCCTCTGGCGGCCGCGAGGCCCCAGGGGCCCAGGCACGTGCGGAGGCGGCCCGGGAGGGCGTGTCCCATCCGGGCCTTCCGGTGCCGGAACCCTCCGGGGCGTCTTCGAGGGACGTCAGCGGGTCTCCGCGTGAGGCTTCGGGCCCGGCCTCCTTCCCGGTGGTCCCCGGGCCGGTCCACCTCCGCACGGCAGGCTCGAGGCAACCCCAGCCGGCCGAGGGAGGGCACCGACCCAGCTCGGAGCGGAAGAGGAGCCGCGACGGCTGGACCAAGCAGATCGTCTGCAGGTATTACCTCCATGGGCAGTGCAAGGAGGGGGACGGCTGTCACTACTCGCACGACCTCTCTAGGAGGCAGAAGGCCCGGGGGGGACCAGGTGCACCAGCTCAGGCCTCTGCAGGCAGAGGCCCCAGTACGGCTGCGCAGAGCGAGCCCCCGGCTCGGGAGATGGTGGCGGAAACCCCCCCTGCTACCGCATCCTCAAGCTCCCTGTCTTTGATTGGCTCGGCTGCCGCTCGGGGCTGCCCTGAAGCTGAGGGAGACGTTGCAGGTCTGGAAGCTGCGGGAGGAGTGGCTGCCAGAGGCAGAGCTGCAGGAGCTGCCCGCACCGAGCCTGCAGGTGCAGAAGGTGCCCGTGCGCAAGGCTGGGTGGGTGCAGTGGAGTTTGTTCCTGGACAGCCCTACCGAGGTCGCTGGGACCTTCCACGGGGTCCCATGGTCCGTCCACGTCCTCCCATGTTCCTCCCGCGTCCTCCCATGGTGTTCCCCTACGGCCCCATGGTTTTCCCACTGGGTCCCGTGGTCTTTCCTCATGGTCCCTTCGTCTTTCCACCTGCTCCCCTGGTCTTTCCTCCTGGCCCTCAGTTTCCTCTGCCGAGGCCGGCGCCTGTGAGAGAGCAGAGGGCTGTGGATGCAGGGATGCCGCTTTGCCGCTACGCTGTCAGGGCCCATTGCTTTCGCGGGGATACCTGTCCCTACCTGCACGGAGATGCATGCGACATGTGTGGGCTACACACCTTGCACCCTGCGAATGCTGCTCAGCGGGACGAGCATTTCAGGGAGTGCATCGAAGCACACGAAAGAGATATGGAGCTCTCTTTCGCTGTGCAGCGCAGCATGGACAAGGTGTGTGGCATCTGCATGGAGGTTGTCTATGAGAAATCCGACCCCAACGACCGCCGCTTTGGCATCCTTTCCAGCTGCAGCCACACCTACTGCCTCAGTTGTATCCGCAGGTGGAGAAGTGCTACACAGTTTGAGAACAGGATCAGTAAGTCGTGCCCACAGTGCAGGGTGCCATCCAGCTTTGTTATCCCCAGTAACCTCTGGATTGAGGATGAGGAGGAGAAGGAGAAGCTTATCCAACAGTATAAGGAAGGAATGCGCAATAAGCACTGCCGGTATTTTGCTCAAGGCAGGGGTCACTGCCCTTTTGGCGTGTTCTGTTTTTACAAGCATGAATACCCCGAAGGCTGGGGAGATTTCTATCAGAGGCCAGATGAAGGTGATGATGGTGGTGGTGGTGATGGTGGTGGTGGTGGTGGTGGTGGTGGTGGCGGCGGTGATGGAGGAGGAGGAGGCGGCAGAGGTGGATCGGCCATCACTTACTGGCATCAAGTTTTGGAGCCTGTGCGGGTGCAAGAGGTCTACATGCCCCTTAAATGCCGCAAAAAGGAGCATGTCTTGTTCCGTCTGGCCAGTCAGTTGTTGAAGAAGTTCCTTTCACTGAGAGCTGATGTTTCCTTCTCTCATGATGAGCTGCTCCTGCTTCATTATCAGCTGGAAGAATATTTCTATTTCTACCTGTAAACCTCTCACTGTCACCTGTGGTCTGGTCTCTGGAGGCTCTGTCTTCTGCTGTCACCTGCTTTTTCCCTCTATTGACTGAAACCTGTTGCTGTTAGAGTCTGTTGAGGAAAACTTGACTCAGTGTTATTTCCTCTCTTGTTTTCTTGTGTATTACCTCCCCCCCATCTCTTTCCTACTACAGTTATGATGTGCCACTGTGTTAAGAAGTAACGAAAAAAAAGTCCTTTGAGTATTAGTTGGTGTGATTAATATTTCTGTTAGTTGATAGTTTGTCTGTTTCTAGCAGTATTTGCTCAGTTGTAGTGTTGTGTTTACAGAATCTTCTCACTGTGGATTCCTCAAAAGTAAATGTGACATAGTGAAAGACGTATGAATTATGAGCCTTCTGCTACAGTAGAGCCTTAAGTCATGGCCCCTGGCAGGGCCCCGCAGCTGCTGTCTGCTGGTTTACACTGGTTTACACTTTTCCCCCCTCCAAGTGCACTTGTGTAACTTGTGGTTTACTTTGTGATTTGTGTCTTACTTGACCAAAATGAGATGAATCTGTTTACATGTTTCTATCCTGTTCCGCTTGATGTGAAACTATTTATACTTGGAAATACATATTTAAGACGACACACATCTATGTATGAAGCTGTGTACTTGGAAACCATACAAACAGATATATGCTGTTTTATGTATGTGTTTGTGGAATAAAATAAATAGATGAGAGCTGAAGGACAAAGGCTGGTAATATGGGCTGCTGTGTTGATTCTGTGGATAATTTATTTGTCCCTGCACAGGGGTCTATTATTCACAGCTAGTGGAAAGAACTGTCTCCAGTCGATTTCAGTAGAGACCCTGAAAGGCTTAGAAAACCTGTCATTAGCAATTCTCATGGTTGCATTAATAGATTGCCTATTATCACCAGTGAAGCAATGTATATTGTTGTGCATCTTACTATGCTTAGTAACAGCAAATCCTGCATTCAGATACTTAGTTATTTTCACTCAATGTTTATTTATTTATTTATTCATTTGTGGGCCATGGGGCTTGAACTCGGCCTGGGCACCGTCCCTGAGCTCTTCAGCTCAAGGGTAGAGTTCTACCACACTTCCAGTTTTCTGGTAGTTAATTGGAGATGAGTCTCACGATGTTCCTACCCAGTATGGCTTTGAACTATCATCCTCAGCTCTCAGCCTCCTGAGTAGCTAGGATTAGTCATGAGCCACCAGCTCCTGGGTTTCAGTATTACTTTATATCTAAATATCTCTAGGTTCTGCAGGCAAAGGACTGTTGACAGAAGTTTTCAACATAATAGTAACAATACTAAAAAAGGGAAATCAGTACATAAATACTGGAACCAGTTAATAGAAGAATCAAAAATAAAAGAGTGAACTATAGAAATTTCCCAAAGTGAAATACAATAGTAATGGAAAGCATATAATACAAATATGCCTGCATTTGATTATAAGTTTAAAACTAGAACTTAAAGGCTATCAGACTTGCTTAAAATAGTATGTGAATGCAGGGGAGGGTGGTTTAGTGGTAGAGTGCTTGCCTAGCATGCATGAAGACCTGGGTTCAAGTCCTCAGTACCACATAAACAGAAAAGACCAGATGTGGCACTGTGGCTCAAGTGGTATAATGCTAGTCTTGAGCAAAAGAAGCTCAGGGACAGTGCCCAGGCCCCGAGTTCAAGCCCCAGAACTGGCCAAAAAAATAGTATGTGAAATGCACACCTACAGAATACAATACAAAGCAGTGAAGCAGTATAGAAAAAAATTAAGGAAATAGTTTCTATGGCTCTTTATCATAAGCACAGTTTATATTAAGGTTGAACATTGCTGGAGATAAACAAAGAATGACATGTAAAGCATAATTCAGCAGGAATCTGTAACTTCACATTTCATACTCATAATAAAATTGTAGTGGATGCACAAATAATTAACAAATACAGAATATGCAAAGTTTCTGTGCTTAATGTAGAATTTTAATACGTTTTAGGAGAGCAAGGAAGGGAGGGAGTAAAGGAATACAACTCATTGATTTCCTCACCTTGTAGAATGCTGTTTGCATCAGCTGCAGGAACCCATCCCCTCCCTGCCCCCTGTGGAGGAGACAGCTGGCAGTCCAGCTGCAGAATTCCCCTCCTGGCATTCATGCTCAGGGCCTGCTTCCCAGGACATTCAGACTGCTCAGGCTATTCAGGAAGGCCCACATGTTTACAGAATGAATACCACATCCTTGAAAGTGATGAAGGAAATGTTAGCCTTGTGTGGTACCTGCTGTCCTTTTTCTCCTCCTGATGAGACAGTGGAGGAAGTTGAGACTGCTTGCCATTATGTGACCCATAGGTATGAGTTTGAGAACAAGGAAGGAAGCTCAGACAGTGCTTTTACAGAGAACCCGCAACTTGCCCTGCTGCTGCCTCTTCCTCCTCTCTTACAGAGAGCCGGCGTCAGATGAGCTAACTGAAATAATAGAGCCCCTGGAGATGCATGGGTTAGGCTGGGGGAGCAGAGCAGGAGCCAAGTTCTCACAGGATGCAGAGAGCCTGGGTAGTTTTGTCTATAAGGTATTTGTGTGGAAAACATTCTTCATGATCTTTTGGAAATTGTGAATGTGAGGTACTAGGTACTAAGTACTGTGCTATAATGGGTACTAGGTACCATATCTTTTCTCTACAGACTTCCACATTCTGACAGACATACACTGTCTATCATGTGTGGCTCCTGGTTCTCTGTGTAAGCACCTCAGAACTTTTCACTCCTTTTTTTTTTTTTTTTGGCTGTTCTTGGGTCTGGGCATTGTCCCTGAGCTCTGCCTCAAAGCCAGCACTCTACTACGTGAGCCACAGCACCATTACCAGTGTTTTCTGTGATTAATTGGATAAAAGAGCCTTATAGACTTTTCTGTCTGGGCTGCCTTTCAACCAAGATCCTCAGATCTCAGTAGTAGCTAAAATTACAGGCATGAGCCACTGGTGTCTGGCATGTGTGGTTTTTATTGTTTTGTTTTTTGTTTAGTTGGTTGTTTTTTTGGCCTTAGTGGGATTTGAACTCAAGACTTGACGCTTACTAAGCTGGCACGTGACCACTTGAGGCATGCTGCCAGCCCTTTTGCCATGTTTACTTTGGAGATAGGTTTGCACTTGGCCCCAGACCAGCTCCGACCGTAATCCTCTTTGTTGTGCTTCTGACCATACATTGGATGACAGACCACCAAGCCCCACTTGTTATATTGACATGGGGTCTCCTCTATTCCTTCTTGATTCCAAATAATTCACCAGTAGAAAGACCTGGACACCTGACTGTTTCCCTATCCATGAACAGGAAGCTATTCCAAAAAAAAAGTGAAAAACTTAAGAGTAGGACATGATAGATCACTTTCAAAGACTACTGAGAGTTTCCAGCTTACTGGAGCCACGGTAGTGGCTTAGCAGTCAGGGAGGAGGTTGTGCTGAACCACTGGAAAGTTGGTCCCACTCAGCACTGCCCACCCACAAGAAAGGCAGAGTTTTTATGCAACTAACATCTCACACCAGGCAGTCATAATGGAATTCAGGTTTTATCCTGGCATAATGGCTAGTAGAGAAGCTAGCCTGTGAGATGCAGAAAGGGAATCAAATCCTAACCACTCAGCAGCCACTCTGCAGTCTCAGCAGATTACTTAAATTCACAATACCTTAGTTTACCAATCTGAGCAATGGGTACGCTGCTCTGTTTTGCAAGATGGTTATGAGAATCATGAAGCAAAAGCTTGAACTGCAGCTGCCATTTTTAAGATGGCATTGATAAAAGAGGAATCTATGCACATTTAGGAGCCCAAGAAGCAATTTTACAAGCATATAAGTACTCCAGCAGCACTTTTCTTTCTATGAACCTGTGAAACTTGTGTTAAGCTAGTATTATTTTTGTAAACGAGGTGTTAGAGTAACTAGTACCACACATCCACAAATTCAAAAAAATGATTTTTTTCAGCAAAAAAAAATCATCTCATTTAAACTAAGTGTGCTGGCTCAATTACTTAAAATACAACAAGCAGGAAAAGACAGACTAAGCATCTGCGGCAGATGCCTAGTAGGGAAAAAACAAATAAGATGATTATTTGTGTGAAAACAGTACACATTATTCCATTTCCAGCCCGTACTGCAAAGAGCAGACATGGAAAGCTGCAGGTCTGAGTGAAATGTCCCCAGCCGCTTGCCTTAGGAGGCAGCATTCAGCCCCTCCCTCCGGTCCCCAGGCACAGAGGATTGCAGCCTGCACAAAGGAGCTAGGTCCACACAAAGGAGCTCTGCCTGCACAAAGGAGCTCTTGCCTTGAGAGTGACACAGCGTGTGTCAGCCCCGCCCCCAAGGCACTGGAGCTCAGCCCTGGGGTCCATTCAGAAAACACCTGCTGCAGCAACTGTGATTTTCCCAGCATTCATCCAACTGCATCAACCACGCGTTTATACAAAAAGCAAATATGCCTAGTAAATAATCACACCCCTTGGAGATACAGAAACCAGGTTTTTCCCAGCCACTAATTTTTTTTTTTTTTTTACTAAATCCCACAGGGTTAAAGATAAAACGTCTCCACTCCACATCCGAGAGCAAGTCCTGTTCCACTCGCACCTTTATAAACAACGGAGGATGCGATTTCTGCTTCCACAGCACAGCGTAGCTGTCACTGCAAACGTGGGGGCTTGGGTGGGCTGAGGAGACAGACGCTTGGGAAATAACCCAGCACTAGGGCTGCGAATTAAACTAATTCACATCAGGATTTTTACCAGGAAAATAGGGTGTTATACATTTCAGAACTGATAGATCCCTAATTTAAAAAAAAAATCGGCTGATCGATCACAATGAAGTTATCCATTAAACGAAGAAATTAGAAGTGGTCCGGGAGCTATTGTGTGACATAATCGTTAGGAGCTCAGTTACCGTTTTGTTAAGGGGAGAATTTGAATTTATTCATTGACTCCATGCAGGTGAGGGGCAGTGAGGTTTCCCTGTAAAAGCAGGGACTCTTCGC